CTCGATGTGGAGGAGCAGCGGTTCTACTCTGAGCTCCTCCCGGGTGACCAAGCTCCTCACCCTCTCTCTAAGGCTGCGCCCGGCCGTCAATCTCCCGTTCCATCCTTCCCTCACTCGTGAACAAGACCCCAAGATACTTGAACTCCTCCACTTGAGGCAGGAACTCTCCACCAACCTGAAGGGAACAAGCCACCCTTTTCCGACTGAGAACCAGAGCCCAATTCATTCCATGCTTGCACCATCTCATGGTTCCTGCTACCTCAGTTCCAGGTGAGCGTGATTTTTCAGCCTGAGCAGATACTGTATATTATGTGTTTCTGTGACACAGTCAAACAGGGTTTTGTGGCCTTTGCACAGGTGTAACTGTAGTTGGGTAGTTGTTTTTCAACCACTTTGTTCATTTACTCCATCTTTATGAGGATGTTTATAAATTGTGGGCATTCAAGCAACATTTATTTAGAGATTCTGAGATAACATTTTTGCATTTTACACCACAGAGTAAGACCTGGAGGAATAACGCGGTTTTCACCCCAGCTGTGGAATACTGGACCAGCTCTATACCCTCACTAGGGTGTTGGAGGGGTCATGGGAGTTTGCCCAACCAGTCTACATGTGTTTTGTGGATCTGGAGAAGGCATTCGACCGTGTCCCTCGTGGCATCCTGTGGGAGGTACTTCGGGACTATGGGGTGCAGGGCTCATTGTTATGGGCTGTCCGCTCCCGGTATGGCCAGAGTAGGAGCTTGGTTCGCATTTCTGGCAGTAAGTCAGACCTGTTTCCGGTGCATGTTGGACTCCGCCAAGGCTGCCCTTTGTCACCGATTCTGTTCATTATTTTTAAGGACAGAATTTCTAGGCGCAACCAGGGAATGATTGTCACAGAATCTTGTCAGTGCTCTTTGCGGATGATGTGGTGTTGGCTGCAGAATCTCGTCTCCGCTCTTTGTGGATGATGTGGTTCTATTGGCTTCATCAGTTCAAGACCTACAGCGTGCACTGGAGAGGTTTGCAGCCGAGTGTGAAGCAGCAGGGATAAGAAATAGCACCTCCAAATCTGAGGCCATGGTTGTCAGTCGAAAAAAGGTGGATTGCTCTCTCCGGGTTGGGGGCGAGTTGCTCCCTCAAGTGGAGGAGTTTGAGTATCTTGGGGTCTTGTTCACAAATGAGGGAAAAATGGAGCGCCAGGTTGACAGATGGATTGGTGCAGCGTCCGCAATAATGCGGTCTCTGTACTAGTCTGTTGTGGTGAAGAAGGAGCTGAGTTGTAAGATGAAGCTCTCAATTTACCGGTCAATCTATGTTCCTAGCCTCACCTATGGCCATAAACTTTGGATCACGACCGAAAGAATGAGATCGCGGATACAAGCTACAGAAATGAGTTTCCTCTGGAGAGTGGCTGGGTGCACCCTTAAGGATAGGGTGCGGAGCTCAGTCACCCTGCGGAGCTCAGAGTAGAGCTCGGATGGATAGAGTAAGACCTGTAGGAAACAAGTACCTTAAAACTTTTAATTTACATGCCTAAAAAAAAATACACAACACTGACAGGTTGTTTTCCTCCTTTGTTAAATATATTGTGAGTGAATCAAAGCATAAGCCTTTTATCTTCTATCAAACTGAACTGTGGCAGTTTTGTTACACCCGTACCTGCTCCCTATACTGAGCTGTTTAGTGCCTCAAATGTGCCCCTTACCTGAGCTTGGAGTCTCTTCTGTTTTTTGTATTATTTGCCCAAACTACCTGCCTGAAAGTAATGATCTAAGTGAGCCTCCTCTCCTGTGTCACCTGTTAAACACCTATGAAGCATTTACTTACCTGAACCCCCTGAGTTGTCTGCCAGCACTAGTCTACCTGGTACCAGTTATTTACCAATGTCATCAGTATTATCTGCTGTCTTCCACTCTCCTCAAAGAGCTTCCATTCTTTGCAACAGATCATCTGTATCCCTATTTTACTAATGCTGTGAGATTTGAACTCCTGCCATTACACCTGTGTTTTTACCTAACGTACTTCTCTGCTTCTGGATTTAGATCCGATGAGCACTAAACTGAGACAGTAAATAAATTTAAAAGTCTGCTTCAGGTTTTTAAAATATCAGAATGACATCATCCAGTTTAGATTCCTGCCAAAATAATTTGGAACTACTTGCCTTGTGTTGTAGTATTTGCAGTTTTCGTAGTTGTTGGAGCAGGTGGTGTTGTTGGTGATTCAGCAGTTGTGGTCGGAGCAGGGGTTGTAGTTGTCGCTGTAGATGTCATTGGAGCAGGTATTGTTGTGGTTGTCACTGTAGGAGTTGTTGGAACACCTGTTATAGTTGTTGTTGGAGCAGGTGTTGTGGCTGTTTCTGCAGTTGTTCTTCTAGCAGGTGTTGTGGTTGCCAATTCAGATTCTGCGGTCATGGCAGGGGTTGTTGTTTGAGCAGGTGGTGGTGTTGTTGCTGCAAGGGTTGTCGCTGGAGGAGGTGTAGTACTCAGAGAAGGTGTTGCAGTTGTTCTACTTGTCACTGTAGGAGATGTCATTGGAACAGTTGTTGTGGTTGTCACTGTAGGAGATGTCATTGGAACAGTTGTGGTTGTCACTGTAGGACTTGTTGGAACACCTGTAAGAGTTGTTGTTGCAGAACGTGTTGTAGCTGTCAGTGTAGCAGGTGTTGTGGTTGTTGCTGTAGGAGTTGTGGTTGCTGATTCAGATGCAGTGGTCACAGCAGGGGTTGTCATTACAGGAGTTGTCGTTGGAGGAGATGTAGTACTAAGAGAAGGTGTTGTGGTTGTTGCTGCATTTGTTGTAGTTGTCACTGTATGAATTGTTGTTGGAGCAGGTGTTGTCAGTTCAAATGCTGTGGTTGGTGTAGGTGTTGTACTTGTGGCAGAAAGTTTTTTTGTTGGAGCAGGTGTATTACTTAGAGAAGGTGTTGTGGTTGCTTCTACAGTTGTTGTTGGAGCAGGTATTGTGGTTGTTTCGGCAGCTGCAGTTGAAGCAAGTGTTGAAGCTGTTGCTGTAGCAGTTATTGTTGGAGAACGTATTGTAGTTGTCGGTGCAGGAGTTGTCGTTGGAACAGGTGTATTACTTAGAGAAGGTATTGTGGCTGTTTCTGCAGTTGTTTTTCTGGGAGGTGTTGTGGATGTGAATTCAGAAGTTGCTGTTGGAGAAGGTGTTGTACCTGTCACAGCCATGGTTGTCATTGGAGCATGTGTTGAAGTTGTCGGTGTAGGAGTTGTTATTGGAGCTGGTGTTGTGGTTATCGATTCAGAAGTTGTAGTCAGAACAGGAGTTGTGCTTGTCTCAGCAGCTGTAGTTGGAGCATTTGTTGTAGTTGTCACTACAGGATTTGTCATTGGAGCAGTCGTGGTTGCCGATTCAGATGCTGTGGTTGGTGTGGGTGTTCTACTTGTGACAGAAAGGTTTGTTGTTGGAGCATGTGTTGGAGTTGCCAATTCAGAAGTTGGTGTAGGATCAGGTGTTGTACTTGCCACAGCCATGGTTGTTGTTGGAGCATGTACTGATATTGTTGGTGTAGCAGTTGTTGTTGTTGGAGCAGGTGTTGTATTTGTGGTTGCCAATTCAGATGCTGTGGCTGGTGTAGGTGCTGTACTTAGAGAAGGTGTGTTGGGGCAGGGGTTGTGGTTGCCGATTCAAAAGTTGTAGTCGATGCAGGTGTTGTGGTTGTGTTTGATGCTTCAGTTTTTGTAGTAGTCACTGTATGAATTTTTGTTGGAGAAGGTTCTGTGGTTGCCGATTCAGATGCTGTGGTTTGTGTAGATGTTCTACTTGTGACAGACAGGTTTGTCGTTGGAGCAGGTGTAGTACTTAGAGAAGGTATTGTGGTTGCTGCTGTTGTTGGAGCAAGTGTTGTGGTTGCCGATTCAGAAGTTGTAGTCGACGCAGGTGTTACACTTGTCACAGTCACGGTTGTTATTGGAGCAGGTGTTGTGGTTGCTGATTCAGAAGTTGTAGTCGATGCAGGTGTTGTGGTTGTCACTGCCATGTTTGTTGTTGGAGCATGTGTTGACATTGTTGGTGTAGTTGTTGTTTGAGCATGTGTTGTATTTGTGGTTGCCGATTCAGATGCTGTGGCTGGTGTAGGTGATGTACTTAAAAAAGGTGTTGGAGCAAGAGCTGAAGAGCTGGAGTTGCCAATTCAGAAGTTGCTGTCATAACAGGTGTTGTACTTGCCACAGCCATGGTTGTTGCTGGGGTACGTGTTGAAGTTGTGGCTGTAGAAGTTGTTGTTGGAGCAGGTGATGTGGTTGCCGATTCAGAAGTTGTGGTCATAGCAGGTGTTGTGGTTGTGGTTTCATAACTTGTTGTCACAGCAGGTTCTGTGGCTGTCACTTCATAACTTGTTTTTGGAGCAGACGTGGTTGCCGATTCAGATGCTGAATTTGGTGTGGGTGTTCTACTTGTGACAG